GAGTGTGTAGCCTAAGGGTTAACGCAGAAAGCCATAATCAAGTATACTCTCCCATGATGAATATTATTAAAAGTTCCGCTACATGATTGGCAGAATAATTCTAGATATGCAGCTTATTAAAGTCATGACCTAGAAACTATGGGTCATTAGACACTAATGTTTATCTGAAAATCCTTGATGAATTTATAATTCTCAAAAATGAAAGAAAGCAAATATCACAACATGTTTGTTGTTGAAGTACAAATGCTTTACTTTACTTAAAATAGTGAAGCAATTGATTGAGAAATTTCTTCTTAAAATAAGGAAATTATAGAAATGAATATGTACCATTAGGTACTTATTTAAGGGGCTTATTTATAAAATAAAGGAGATGAAAAATCAAGTATTATATCGACCTGTAGATCGAGCATTTCCTTAAAAGGAATTTCACATGCTATTTAGTCTATGTCCAAATAATCTCCCGCAGTAGATAAGGACCATTTTAACCTAAAAGGATGATTCAGGACCAGAAGTCCAATACTTCAAAACGTCATTTTGAATACCCTTTTCTTTGAGATCGAAAATTCCCAAATTCGCATTTTCTTTTTGTAATTTGTAAAGAGTGATTTGGTGATTCTCATAGAAAGAAAAGTAAATGATGTTAATTAATATCCTTAAGGTATAAAATACATCATTCGAGAAGTCATTTGAATATTGGCATTATGTTAAACGCCATGACTTGGATTGATATATTATAAATCAATTTAAGCTTTAAGCATCTTAAAGCCTAAGGGATAATACTTGTTCTTATAAATGTATTTTGTATATTATCATCTCGATATTACTTTCTCTCTTTGTCATAGCGACTGTTAAGTTATGAGATGAAATAAGGAATAGCAAATCAAGGTACAAATATTCATATTGATGCTTTTGACATGAAGTTATCATACTCCGGACAAATAAAAGCGTATATAGTTTTTCATGATATAAAATACCTTGATCCACATGAACTCCATAAGAGTGATAAAATATTTGTCCAGAAGATTTGCTCCAATGACAAGTTAGCAAATGCATACCTACAAAATATCTATGAGAAATCCCTGATGGATTTATAATTTCCGAATGAGGATTTATTTAGTATTATTAAGTGCCATTATTTACTCTTTAAAGAGTTGCGAATGGAGTTATTATCCTCGTGTAGAAGGAATAATATGTACCATTATGTGCTCAATAAAGAATTGATAATGGACTTATTTATTATCTCAGTCAATATTGATGGTTTAAACATCAATGAAATATATAAAGAGCTTGATGATGTCAGTTCATGTTTAAAGACTGAGATCAATTTTTTGAAATAAAAAGCTTGTGAAAGCTATAAGTATTATCTCGACTTGAAGATCGAGTTTTTCCTTGAAAAATTTTTATACACCAGTCAGCCTACATCTAAAAATGCTTTTCACATGTCTATATGCATAAGTGTCATGTTTTTATCAAACTAAAGGTTGCCTAATAATCTCTTGAAGCAGATAAGGAACCATTTGGACTCGAAGTCCCTTACTTCATTATCGTTGGAGCACCTTTTTAGAACCAGAAGTTCCATAATCGCAACATGCAATGCATGATATTTGCGATGAAGTTGCTAGCAAAATTTAGTGCTCCCCCTACAAATGAAGTACTTGAATAATGATTAACATATCCTCCGGTATCTTCGAGATACAAAGACATGACATTTATGTAAGAAACCATGATACGGTTTTAATAGGCTACTTGGGTACTGACTGTTTTATTTGATCCCCGCAATGCCAAGTCCAAACTGGTTATACAATGAATTTCCCTAAATGTTCAAAATGAGGACAATAACACTTGTGTTGCACAAATGTTATATGAGCTCTAGAAGAGCCATAAGATTATTGTACACTACTCTAGAGACAATCCAGAAGATTTGTCCAATCCATCTCTTCAAATTTTGAAATATATGTAGAACTTGAAGACTGTTATCTTCAGGGGGAGACGGGAAGTACATTTACTTGAATCAATCCGGAAGATTGAACGTAAAATCCTGAAGATTAAGTCATAAAAGACTAACAATTGCGCAGTATTTGCAACGCATAAATACATAAATATCATGTACTCTTTTCTTCACTAGTTTTCTCCCATTGGGTTTTCTAGTTTGGTTTTTAACGAGGCATGAGTATGATATAGTAATGACAATGAGGAAAAGTTGCAAAATAATTGCTTAAATGGACAAATCCCAAAATCCTGAAGATTATGCGGTTTGCGGCCTAAAGGCTTATGGTTGTACTCTTTTTTCCCTTAACTAAGTTTTTCCCACAGGGTTTTCTTAAGTTAAGGTTTTTAATGAGGCGACCAAATACAATATATGTTTTTACATATATCATGTACTCTTTTCTTCAACTAGGTTTTTCCCACGTGGTTTTCCTAGTGAAGTTTTTAATGAGGCATGAATATATTTTCTATTGTACTCTTTTCTTGTCTAGGTTTTTCCCACCGGGTTTTCCTAACAAGTTTTTAACGAGGCAAGGTCGTGGCCAAATAATGTCCAAGGGGGAGTGTTATAAATATATATACTTAGTGGACATTATTATGTAACGGACATATTTATGTCCTCATTATGTTTACCGTTACGATTATCTTATATATATTCCCATGTACAATGTAAGTGATGTTGATGAATGAAATCATTCCCCTTTTTTTCACTTTTGTCTATCGCTTTCTTCCTGCAAGGTTCATCGGTTAGAGCTAATGGCCAACGGGCACAAACAAACAACATTACAACACACTTAAGTAGAGTTTGGTGTGGCAAAAATATGCACATTAATTAATTAATTTACATAACAAACAACCAATTTAATTATGTTATTATTAATAAGTGAAATAAAGTGTAAACATGTGTATTAATTATGCACATTATTGGCTCTTTGTGTTTCAGTAGGTTGAGAAAGTAGTTATGAACAGAAACTACATTTTAATAGAGTCAGTAGCATTCAAAAAAAAAAAAAAAAGTGTAAACATGTACTGTCTATATTAAACAAAATATGAGCCATTGGGGAAGTTCTTGCAAGATTAGCAGTGTTGTGTTAGGCATATCAACAGAGAGACGAAAGTGATGAAGAGGTTTTAGATTGCCAAAGATAGATCTTGATATATAATTATGAATAGAAAATTTTCTGCAACATATTCTGTAATGACAAATTTTCATTTTTTGATAGTAATAATAATAATAATCATAGGCTAACTAGATATTTTAGGTCTTATTCTCAATCGTTATACCCTACACCATGGCGTGCGTAGCACTGTGCGCCGCGCGCTTCCCAAAACGACGTCGTTTTGGGTCGTTGGCAGGCGCGGTAGGAAGTTGCTGTGATTATGTGTATTTGTTCATACAATTATGTGTATTTGTTCATACAGTTATGTACATTTTTTATACGAGAAAATTACACTTTTAGTCCTGTGACTACTGGGATCTTGTTAATTTCAGCACTCGACTTTAAAAACTAACACTTTAGTCCCATAACTATGCAATTTTTAACACATTTGGTCCTGTTCGCCAAATCACCGGCCAAATGTCGCCGGAAAAATGTAAACCATTTTTAATTATTTAACATTGAGGGCAAATTGGTCATTTCAAGTAACTCTCTTCTTCTTCCTTGCACTGCGCACAACTAGCCGATTATTTCTCCGATTAGTATGATATAATTCTAAAGTAATGAATGATTTCTAGATGCTAACCTGCTGTATAAAATCAATATAGTGAAGAGCCCCATGCTTAAAGTGGGTCCCACCACCAGGGAAGGTAAGGTATTCACCAGTCACCACTAACTTTAACCCAATTTTGATGTCCCTTAACCTCTTCAAGCTTGGTGTGTGGAACATTGCCGTGCCAGAATTATATAATTGGCCAGGCAACGACGAAGTTGTGCGCAGTGCCTGACCATTGCTGTCGGAACAAATTTCCTGGGTTTTGTAATGAGAAGAAAGGGTGCCGTGCCAGAACTACATATATATAGGACAACTTTTTTTAATTTTCCGGCGATTGTTTTCTCGGTGACTCACAACCAGAAAGGTTCGGCACCATGGAAAATCTGGCACCGTGAACAGCTCGTTATCGCCGTTTGCTTTCACTATTAGGCCAACGGAAGTGACGGACTGGGACACGGCGGTGGAGAAGTAGCTCATACCGAAGTACACGCGCGGGAGCAAAAGGGGATGTTTTCCGGGAAAGGCAGGTCGACGAGGGAAATGGCGTCGACGACACTGGAGAGGGATTTGGTGAAGAAGGGGCGGTGAATTGACCATTTTGCCCTCCATAATAAACAATTTAAAAACATTTACGTTTTTTCGGCAACATTTTACCGGTGATTTGGCCGGAAGGACCAAATGTGCTAAAAATTGCATACTTACAGGACTAAATTGTTAGTTTTTAAAGTTGAGTACTGAAATTAACAAGACCTCAACAGTCACAGGACCAAAAGTGTAATTTTCTCTTTTTTATACAATTATGTACATTCTTTTTATACAATTATGTACACCCGAATCAGAAAATTTGTGTGTATTATGTTAAGAGTTGATGTGTATTATGTTAAAAGTTTATGTTTACTATGTATTATGTTAGATTATGTGTATTATCTTTTAAAAAGAGTATGTATATTTTGTTATATAATTATGTACATTCATGTATACAATTATGTGTATTCTAGTATAACATTATGTACATTTTTGAACAACGGATTTTTTTTAAAGAAAAAATTACTGTCATTCACTGGGGCGGGAAATTTCAAAAAAAAAATTAATTTAAAACGACGTCATTTTGCATCTGGGCGTACAGTGCAACGCGCACCGTGGTGTAGGATATAAATTGCCTCTTATTCTACCTAGGCCCAAATTATAATTTAGTTGGTTAAGTTTTGATTTGGGCTTAGTCTATTCTTGGGCCCAATAATAATTGTATGTCTTAAGCTTGAGAAGTCCATTAGGGGGAGGAGATTGTTCTGGAATCTTAGTAGAGAAGAAAGAGGGGAGAAGAGGACACTTTCAGCTTTCAGTGTAGGAAGAAAGGTGGCACATCTCACTCTGCGACTCTGCGTAGCAAGTAACAAGCAAAAGAGTTTGGTTTTTGGGCTCAACTAGGCAAGGTATTTTATTTTAGATTTTGTTGTTAAAAGAAGAATTGAAACATCATCCCTGCTAGGTTTTGCTGTGTACGTAATTCAAAGCTCAAGATTGGGGAATTCACAACAGTGAAGAATTGAATTGCTAAGTTTTAAAGTGGGTGTTTGGTGATGACTTTTTATTTCTTTTCCCTAACAAATCTATGCTTTATTACCCATGTTGCGGCTGATTTTTTCTACCTAATGAACCACATCTTATTTGTTAAATTTTGACAGTACTTGTTTCAAGAAGAGTAATAGAGGTCTTAGGCTCATTTATTTATATTTTTGGATTGTTGCTTGGTGTGGAGAAAACATGGTTGTTTATAAATTTACAAGAAGAATTTGTAAATATTTGGAATGCTAGTAAGTTATAATGGTGTATATATATTTGATAGGTGACCGTGAAGGTTAGTAGTGCATAAAGGAATTTCTATGCTTAAAGCTTACTAAGGTAAGGGAACTTTGCACTTACTTACTCATTGTAACTTATATACCATAGCTTAAGTGATTGTAAAATATTGAAGCTATTCTTGAATATTATGGGCATGTTTTGTATGATAAAGAATTAGTACATATCTCGTGAAAATTTGGGAATTTGATGCGTTTTATTGTTGATCATGGTATATATAGATTTTCAAAGGTATTAATCATATTGGTGGTGTAACCACCCTTGTCTTGACTTGGAATGTTCCATTGATTCCCAATTGGTGGTCTCGCCACCCTTGATTTGGAACATTCCCTTGATTTTAATTGGTAGCTTTGCTACCCTTGACTAGTGTAACTTTATTAATTGATCTTGGCTCATCCTATGAGTATATTATAGTTCTCAAAGTAAAATGGTGAGTTAGGTGTGTAATATCTTTATTTATTTATTTCTATGATATTTGAGCACCGATCTATGATTCATGACTTGAAGGGAAAACTCTGGAATTATTGATACTCTTATGCGATAAAATTGTATAAGAATACTAACGCTTTTATTATACTTTCTATTAAACGTCTTATGTTACCTTATTTATTTGTGGTCCTCTTTATTCTTTATACTTGATTTGGTAGAGAAGTGTTATATGATGTACCATGCCTTGAGCTCACTTGTGTGTTCATGTTTTCAGATTAGAGTGTTGATCGAGGTTAAGACAAGGGAGGTCACATTTTGGGGTTAAAGACCATGGGGTATTAGTCTAGTGTTTTGTGATAGAGGAGGACTACCTCTAGTCTTTTTGGGGAGATCAAAGTCCATAGTAGGAGCTTGGATTTCAAGTTGTAATTTTTGGACCATGTCTAGAAGCTTAAATGTGTATATTATATTTCCAATTAAGCTATCTTTGGGAGAAGGAACTTTAAGAACAAGAGGTTGTTTATGTTATCTTGTGATTGATATTTTGTTTAGCAAGCTTCGTATTATAACGATTTTTTTTTTCGTAATAATACGGCCGGGTTACGCTCATTTTTTGGGCCGTGACATGAGGAGTTCAGCGTCGAGGAGATGCGATGGAGTGTTTGCTATTTGGTTTGGAGTGTTCTAGAGATTTTTGCATTTAGGGTTATAAAGATTTATTTTATTTTATTTTAACTCTAATTTCATAGTCAAAAAGCCGGCGTTTAAGTACAAGAAAAATAAAATTTAATAAAACTATTGCAACGGAATTTAGGCGGTCGTCATTTCCGTCGCCATATTTAGTTCATAATCTAAAATTTAATTCATTTAAGGACGGAATTAAATCGGTCGCAGATTCCGTCGCCATTTCGCGACGGAACACAAATCGGTCGCCTTTTCCGTCGCAACATAGACGACGTAAATTACTTCCGTCGCAAATTCGGTCGTGAATATTTGCCGCCAATATTTCGCGGACTTTATTTTATATTTGCGCCAAGATTCACGACGGAATTTAATTCCGCCGCCGTTTCCGTCGTCATTTCGCAACGGAATGTATTCGGTCGCAATTTTGGTCGCTAAATGGCGACGGAATATAGTCCGTCGCAATTTCCCGTCGCGATTCGCGATTTTTCTTGTAGTGACAGAGTTGGTATCAGAGCCTAGGTTTGGAATTGATTGTCTATCCAAGCATAGGTTGACTCCTTACAAAGAAAAAAAAAAAATCTAGGCTTGTTAACAAATGTATGTTCTAATATGGAATGTGTGGGTCCGTTGTAAATCTTAGGTATTTGATGTTGTGAATGGTTGTTAGTATTGTTTTTGTTATATTTCATTGTCTGTATGTCTTTCAGCAAATTAGTGAATTTATGGATAGAGGTCGTGGAGGAACCTCGGGCGGCGGAAGAGGAAGGCAGGCAAGGCAATCGAGAGGTGGTCGAATTGCTAGGCTAATTCAAGGGATTCGAGATGTACCGGTTGATGAAGTCCCATCTTCGGGTATTCCTCAACCTCAAGTTACCTCTCAAGCTGCACCTCAAACAACTACACAAGTTGACATTGCGGGCACCTTTCAAGTGTTAGCTAACCTTTTGCAGCAACAAGCAACTAATAATCAAGCGTCCTATTTTGAAAGGTTTAGACGTGTAAACCCACCGACTTTCGATGGTGGACCAAATCCCTTGGCTGCAATTAAATGGATCAAAGAGGTGGAGAAATTGTTCGTAGCTATGCAGTTCCCTCCGGAAATCAAATTGGGTGTAACTATACCATTGCTTCAAGGAAATGCAGAGCATTGGTGGGGGGTTACAAGGGCATCGTACCCAGATGGGGATCATATAACTTGGGAAGAATTTAAGAGAGTGTTTTATCGTAACTATTTTCCTGATAGTGTAAGGAGGGTGCTAGAAAATGAATTCCTAAATTTGGTGCAAGGTGATATGACAGTCTTGGAATATGCTCATAAATATATAGAACTAGGAGAGTTCTTTCCAATCTATATGAGTAATGAGGAAACAAAGACCAATAGGTTTGAAAATGGTTTGAGGTCTGCAATCCGCAATCATATGTCATCTAATGTTTATCATAGCTATCAAGAAGTGTTCGATAGTGCCATAAGAGTTGAAGCAAGGTTGAATGAGTCCAAGGAGCAGTGGTCTGACAGAAAAAGGGTAAGAGAATCCATACAACAACATGGAAAGCCAAGGGATAGTAGAAATGTACCAAATAAGAAGACAAGTAAAGGACATGTTGTGCAGACTAAGGAGTGCAACTTCTGCCATCTTTATCACACTGGGGAGTGTCGCCGTAAGTCTGGGGCATGTTTTGAATGCGATCAATTGGGACACAAAGTGAAAGATTGTCCAAGGAAAATGCATATTGCAGTAGGATCAACTCAACAAAAACCCAGGATTAATGCTCGCGTATTCGCTATGACTCAACAAGATGCAGATGTTGCCGACAATGTTGTTTCAGGTATATTGCCCATAAACTCTATAAATGCTTATGTCTTGTTTGACTCTGGTTCCTCTCATTGCTTTGTGTCTAAGAGATTTGTGAAGTCTTTGAACCTAATAACGAAAAAATTAGATGAACCCTTGTTTGTTAGCACCCCTATGAAGAAGATTGAAGTTGCGGATATGTGGGTCAAAAATTGTATTCTTTTGCTTGGAGGGAGAGAAATGGTGGCAAATCTAGTTTTGCTGGATATGCATGATTTTGATGTCATACTTCGGATGGATTGGCTATCAAAGAACCATGCTTATATTGATTGCTCTAAGGGGAAGGTTATATTCCAGATTCCAGGGCAATAAGAATTTTGCATGCAAAATTGCAAAGAGAGAGGTGTATTGGCCACTAAGATACCCCTAAATATCATCTCAACCATGAGTGCAAGAAAATCATTAAGGAAGGGATGTCAAGGGTTTATAGCTTATGCAATTCATGCACAAACCAAAGATGTGATTAGAAGACATTCCAGTGGTTAGTGATTTTCCTGAAGTTTTTCCTGAGCAATTACCAGGAGTACCCCCTGATAGAGAGATAGAGTTTGAGATTGATTTGATCCCTGGAACAACTCCTAAGTCCAAAATTCCATATAGGATGGCTCCAGCCGAGTTGCGAGAATTAAAGGTACAATTGCAAGAGTTACTAGACATGAAATTTATCTGCCCTAGTGTCTCACCTTGGGGTGCACCTGTTTTGTTTGTTAAAAAGAAGGATGGGAGTTTTTGACTTTGCATCGATTATAGAGAGTTGAATAAGGTAACTGTAAGGAACAAATATCCGTTACCCCGCATAGATGACTTATTTGACCAATTGCAAGGAGCAAAGTATTTCTCTAAGATTGACTTGAGATCTGGTTATCACCAATTGAAAATCAAGGCAGCAGATGTACCTAAGACTGCGTTTCGAACTAGATACGGCCATTATGAATTCTTGGTTATGCCTTTCGGGTTAACGAATGCTCCCGCTGCTTTCATGGATTTGAAGAACAGGGTATTCAAGCAATTCTTAGATAAATTTGTTGTAGTCTTCATTGATGATATTTTGGTTTACTCTAAAACCAAAGAAGAGCATGTAGAACACTTAAGGGTGGTGTTGCAAACATTGAGAGACAAGAAGTTATATGCAAAACTAAGTAAGTGTGAGTTTTGGCTTAACAGAGTATCTTTTCTTGGTCATGTAATATCAGAAAATGGAATTTATGTTGATCCAGCCAAAGTAGAAGCATTGTCTAATTGGCCACGACCTACGAATGTAACTGAGGTGAGGAGTTTCCTAGGGCTGGCCGGCTATTATAGAAGGTTTGTGGAAGGATTTTCTCAAATTGCTTCTCCCTTAACTAACTTGACACGGAAGCTTGTGAAATTTGAGTGGACAGCAGAATGCGAAAGAAGTTTTGAGGACTTGAAAAGCCGTCTAGTAAGTGCACCCATATTAGCACTCCCCTCGAGCATGGGAGGATTTGTTATATACAGTGATGCCTCAAAGAAAGGGTTGGGTTGTGTGTTGATGCAAAATGATAGAGTGGTGGCTTATGCTTCTCGCCAACTAAAACCTTATGAAGCGAACTACCCAACTCATGACTTAGAGCTTGCAGCAGTGGTGTTTGCTTTAAAAATTTGGAGACATTATTTATATGGGGAACCTTGTGAGATTTTCACTGATCACAAAAGTTTGAAATACTTGTTCACACAAAAAGATCTAAATATGAGGCAAAGGCGTTGGCTAGAGTTAATTAAAGACTATGATATAAGATTTCACTATCACCCAGGAAAAGCTAATGTGGTTGCAGATGCACTTAGTCGAAAATCATCTATGGGACTTATAAACTTTCTAACTATGCAACCTCAGATACTAAAAGAGTTTGAAATGATGGAGGTAGAAGTGATAACTAAGGATAAGTTTAGTAAGGTTCTGGCAACTTTAACTGCTCAACCAGCATTATTGGATAGAATTAAGGTTGCTCAAATTGATGATCCAGGGTTGAAAAAGATAAAAGAAAGATTAGAGAAGGGTGAGACTACAAACTTTTTAATTTTTTGGGATGGCTCATTGTGCTTCAAGTCTAGGTTGTGTGTGCCAAATGATGAGGTGATTAAGAGGGAAGTCTTAAGTGAAGCTCATAAGTCTCATTTTGCAATACACCCCGGTGCCACAAAGATGTATAAAGATTTGAAAAGAAACTTTTGGTGGAGCGGCATGAAGCGTGACGTAGCGGACTTTGTATCAAAATGCATGGTTTGTCAACAAGTCAAAGCAGAACATCAAAGGCCTGCAGGATTACTAAGGCCCTTAGAAATACCAGAATGGAAGTGGGAACACATTTCAATGGATTTTGTCTGTGGGCTACCAAGGACTACTCGAGGAAATGATTCTATTTGGGTGATTGTTGATAGACTCACTAAGACTGCACACTTTTTACCAGTTAGACGTACTACACCATTGAACGATTTGGCTCAACTCTATATTGATGAGATTGTTCGATTGCATGGAGTTCCAGTGAGCATTGTTTCAGATAGGGACTCAAGGTTTTTATCAAAATTTTGGAAGAGTTTGCAAAGAGCCTTGGGTACAGAACTTAAACTCAGTACAGCCTTTCACCCTCAAACTGATGGGCAAACAGAAAGGACAATTCAGAGCTTAGAGGATATGCTTAGAGCTTGTGTACTTGACTTTAAAAGCAGTTGGAGTCAACATTTTCCCTTAATTGAGTTTTCTTATAATAATAGTTATCAATCAAGCATTGGAATGACACCCTCTGAAGCATTATATGGGAGGAAGTGTAGGTCACCTTTGTGTTGGGATGAAGTTGGAGAAAGAAAGATATTGGGTCCTGAATTGGTAGAACTTACAGTTGAGAAGATTCAATTAATAAGAGATAGGATCAAAACTTCTCAAGATAGGCAGAAGAGTTGGGTTGATTTGAAAAGACGAGGCTTAGAATTTAATAACGGAGATTTTGTGTACGTGAGAGTGTCTCCTACTAA